CAGACCGGATCCCTGCCCGGAACCTGAGCCCGAGGGGTGCGGTACCCGGCGCTCCGACTCTTTCCTCGGGTCCTGGGGCCGCCCTCCTCCCCCCCGGATTATCGGAGCCCCCTGTCCCTTCCCTGGAGTGAGGCCTTGGCCGGCCCGGGCTCCCCGGTGTCCCCGCAGACGCCCCCGCCATGGGCAACACGAGCAGCGAGCGCGCCGCGCTGGAGCGACAGGGCGGCCATAAGGCGCCCCGAAGGGACAGCTCGGGGGGCTCCAAGGATGGGGACAGGCCCAAGATCCTGATGGACAGCCCCGAGGACGCCGACCTCTTCCACTCCGAGGAAATCAAGGTGAGGGAAGGAGGGGGAATCCGACCCCCTTCACTAATGTTGAGGTCGACGAGGTCGCCCGCCACAGCCCCCCGAAAGCTCATCCTCGGAAGTGGGAGGGAGGTGATACTTCACCCGCTGCGCCCCCAAACCGGACGGGCCTGTAGGAGCCCTCTTAGCAGTCGGGGAACCAGTGTCTAATTACCATCAGGAGAAAGTCACCCCGAGGGAGGAGGAACTCGCTTCATTTACCATCATTAAGGAGAGAGAGCGGCCGGCCGTGGGACCGAGTTTCACATTCTTAATTAAGATCCCCGAGCTAAGTAGTCACTGAACCCACCCCCCCCAACCCCCCGTCTCTGCTTTTCTCTTAGGTATGCTAATTAAATTCCCTGAGAAATCTTCCCTTCCCGGTAGGAAGACTGGCACTTTTTGTCATAGTTGGTTTTGCGGTTTATTGTCAATTTTGGAGATGAACCAGAGCACGCAGTTAAGCCAAAAGCCGAGTCTGAACAGCTGCCAGAGGTGTCTGGTCCTGCCTAAAACGTTTGGCTCACCCTGCTTACCAGAGTGGGCACAGACAAGGAATTCCACTTCTGCGGGCCTGCGGGTGAGCTGAGTGTCCGTCTGAAGGGCGCAGCCAGCTGCAGCGCCTCTTCTCTCCCCCGTTGTTTAATTATGACAATGTTTTAAACAGGCCAAAGCAAATATTTTTGCAGACCAAACATGGGCATCCTGCTGCAGTCGGCTTTCATTTATCAGGACGTCTGGAGATGATTCTTGACTCCCGTTTCAGCCACGTTCCTGTTACCCACCTCAGGTGGCCTGTTTCCAGCTGCAAGGACTGGTCCAAGGACACTTAGTGATTCTGGCAGCTGAGACAGGTGGTATATCCTAAAAAAAAAAACACAAAAAAACTAATTCCTTAAGGAGAGTGTGACAAAGTAGGTTTAGGGGAAATGAAGGTGCCTAGCCACTCACCCCTCAGCCCAACATATTCTCTGTTGGCCTCCACTTGTATATTGATCATCACTGTTTATTAGGCTAATTGCCTGGTGACTCATTCCATCTTGACTCATATTTTTCCTCAGATGTTGGGCTGGGTGATCACATTGTTACCTTATATTCTCACTTGGCTCTTGTCTTGTTTGAGTCTGCTTTTACTTGGCCTTCCATCCTGTGATTTGAACTTGCTTTCCGAATCTGTTGCATTCCTGAGAAGCTCCTTGCAAAGTGACCTTTGAAATTCGGGTTCTCCGTCGACTTGACATCCCTTCCCCTGGTAATAATTTTGGCCCAAGGGTGGCTCTTTAAGACATAAGAATCAAACTACTTTCTTCAAGAAGTGTTTGTTTTGTTGCTCTTCCAGACCTTCTAAGAGAAATGTTTAGCGTTACAGATGATCTGTGGAGAATGGTGTTGAATAGTGTCCATTATCGTTTCCTCAGAAGTTACTGAAATAACAAAGCAGAACCTGGATTGCCCCAGATAGCAAAAAAAAAAAAAAAGAAAGAAAGTCATGGATTCTTTTAACTACACTAATACACCATTTTGGCTGTGGCTGGTTATCACATCCTTAGCAGAAAGTGTCTCCAGTCTTGCTCTTTAATTTGTAGATCTTGTTAAGCTCAAAGAATGCAGGCGTCTTTTAGGACATGCTCAGGTCAATATTTGAATCGAAGGTGCTAAAAGCCTATTTGACCACCTTTAAGGGTCTCTTCCAGCTTAGAACTCCTGTTCTTTTAAAGTCTTTGGCTTCTGACTAGGAAACTTGTAACAGATCCAAAACCACATGTATTTCACCCAGAGTCGGACGCGCTTGTTTCTCTCTGGAAACCCCTGTTGAACGTCGCTTCCCATACTAGGAGTTACTGTTGACCAAAATGAGGGTTGGTCTTTGACCTTTTCCTCCCCAGTGTCTGGATGGCTCTCGGTGAATGTAGTATTCCCTTCTCAGAATCTGGATTTGCCAGTTTTCAAGTTGACAACTCTGGAATTGTTCCTCATAAATTTTCATGTACTTCAAATCGTGCTTAATTATGGGAGGAAAATGACCTTTATTAAGCTAGTCTTGAATTCATTGGAGCCTTCTTCCAAATGGGTTTTAGCATTTCTCCTAGAATATTAATGTAGCCCTCTTTAATAACAGCAATAATAGTAGCTAATAATTTTTAAGCACTTATTCTGTGTCAGACACTATGCACAGTGTTTTGCATAGATACTCTCAGTCTTCACAACAGCCTTAAGTTGTTATTTTTACTCTCTCCATTTTGCCAGTGGGGAAACGGACCTACAACTAGTCGGTTAATGAGCCTGAACATGAACTTAGGTAGTAACAGCTGCTTCTTTAGAATGAATTGTCAATATCAGGGTAACTGCCTGTGTAGGGGGCTCACTAATGACGGCCTGTCCCTGAATACGTTGGTCTGTTTCTAGGCTCCGGAGAAAGAGGAATTCCTGGCCTGGCAGCACGATCTGGAAGTGAATGATAAAGCTTCTGCCCAGGCTCGGCCAACTGTCTTCCGATGGACAGGGGGCGGAAAGGAAGTGTACTTATCTGGGTCCTTCAACAACTGGAGTAAACTTCCGCTCACAAGAAGGTAATTGCCTGGGAGTATTCACATATTATCTCAATCCAGGGACACTCTTGTTTCTAAATGATCTTGGCCGGGTGAGTAGAAAGGGATGTTTTTATGATATGGATGCTGAATGGAAAAATAATCTGGCTTAATAATTCACAGGGTTCATCTCTCACACCCAAGTAGTCTAGGTTTAGAGCACACGCAGTTACGAGTATTTTTTCCACTTCAGATATTCAGCTATGTGTTAGTTCAGGCAGGACTTCTCTTTTGGAAAGAGAAATCTGTTCCTAGAGCTGTAGAGAAAACACTGGGCAGGGACTGGAGATCACATTGGCTGCTCTAACCTGTCATTAACACCTGAGCCTCAGTGTTCCCATCTGTAAAAAAGGACTGTTGGATCAGATGATCACTGCGGTTCCTTCTACCTTTGAGTCTCTTTGTATTTTGTTTGAAAGGTACATGTTACGTAGCATCATTAGCAAGACTACAGTAAAATAGTTCATCAGGAACCCTAGCATGGACTTCTGTCTCCAAGTGTCAGTGAAAAGCATCTTCTGTAGGGGGTACTCTTGATGAAGCAGAGGGAGAAATCTTGCCCTGCTGGTCCAGGCCTGGTTATTGTCAGGGAAGCACCTGCTTTTCCAGGGGTGATGTTAGTGTAGGAAGAGCCGCTGGGCACAGTTATAAGTCACTTCAAGGCAGGGGAACAAAACAGTCAAATGAAAGAGATTTTCTGGAACCTTTTTAGCAGTTACATTTCTTTAGAGACCTGGTTGCATCCTATTAAATTGCTCCCCTTTCCTGCCCAAGGCAAACCGACAAAGGGTAAAACTTGGCAGCAGCGTGTTTCTCTCGTGTCGCCGTCCTCAGCATCCAGGCTGCCAGGTGTTTTGCATGCAAGTTGAGAAGGGACAAGTGCCTGTTAGCCGACCTTCTGAGCAAAGCGAGTTTTCAAGAAAACGTTGCATTCCTGCTTCCTTGTCCATTTTCTAGATTACGATCATTGCATCAAGTTGTCTGAATTGGTTTAAAATGTTTATACTCCTGCAGTTGAAGTCTTGGTTTTACATGGAAAGGTTTTGTTCTGTGGTTGGTCTTGTAAGTAAGCTAAGAAGGCCGCCCACCCAGCTGAAAACCTCTGCTTCCTTCTCCTGGCAGCCATAACAACTTTGTCGCCATCCTGGACCTGCCAGAAGGAGAGCATCAGTACAAGTTCTTTGTGGATGGTCAGTGGACACATGACCCTTCCGAGGTACTCTCTCCCTCTTGCCCGCAGTCCTCTGGCTGCCACACAATCCAAAGGAATCACCTTCCCTTATAGATTGTTGCCAGGTCCCTTTGTCCTGCTGGTAAAAATTCCTGTGTGTGGCTGAGCTAGATAACAGCGCTGTCAGACTATGGGGATACGTGACCAGGAAGAGCAGGTTAGCTAGCCAGGAGCTGAGCCCTTCCAGCCAGGAATTCTAGATCCTCTAAAGAATAACCCCAGAGACCGTCCACATTATGATTTCTGCCTGTCTGTCTCTTCCCAGCCAATAGTAACCAGCCAGCTTGGCACAGTTAACAACATCATTCAAGTGAAGAAAACTGACTTTGAAGTATTTGATGCTTTAATGGTGGATTCCCAAAAGTGCTCCGATGTGTCTGGTATGAATGCAGTTATTTTATACCACATGTATGCAAGTGGGGGCTGTGCAGTCCAGAAATCCTCGGTTTCTCTCTCCTCTCACTCTTGAGTCAAGCTGCCCAATCAGGTGGATGCTTGTAGCTCCCTAAAGAGCCACAAAACGAATTCCTAACTCTGTGGGGTCAGGTTGCTGAAATCTAGCCCCGAGGGAGCAGTAGGTCATTTTGGGGGCGCATCTCCAGGATTCAGTAGGTCTGTTTGGCCACAGAGAGCGGACAATTGAAACGGAACCAGAGCTTGGTCTCATGCCAAGGGCAGGACCCAAGAGGCCCGAGAGTGCTGCCTTGGGTCAGCAATGAGCCAGTGCCGGGGAAGCCTGCCAGCTCCCTGACTGCTCACAACCCAGGGTGCCTGGAGAGTCTCAGCCTGACACGTGATAAATGGACACCTCCATGACCTTGGCCGTCACTTGTGTGGCACATTAGCACCTTGTCGGGCGCAGGAGGCTCACCACAGGAAGCGGGCTACATAGCACAGCCTGCTCGGTACAGTCTAGTAGAACTTTCCCATCTTTTAAGAGCCACCCAATCATAGAGTTTTCAATAAACAGCTTTCCACCTAAACCCACAGGAAGAAGCTGCCTGGAAACATAATACATACAGTTCATACATCCTTCAGAAGGAAGGATATGTTGTCATCTAAAGTATCAACAGTAACTGCATTGCAGCGTTTAAACAGTTCCTGCAGCGTTTAAACAATTCCTGGGTGTACACACACACACACAGTGGTAAACTAGCCATGGTGGGCTTGGTGTGGCTGACAAGCCAGGCTGTTGTTGAGTAGGAAGTAGGAACCTGAAAATCCCATTCTTCTATCTGGTTAGCTACCTAATCTTTTAGAGAAGCCATTTATTTCTTTTTCAGACAGGTGGGAATTAGGGGATGGAGGAAATGCCCAAATATCCCCTGCTTACTGATAAATGTAATTTCGGGCCACAAACTGAGGCTTTTAGTCACATTTCCGCAGCTTAGATCACCTGGGACAGAAAACTGACCCCTCGCCGGGGTAAACCCCTTCAGACCCTCTGTAGACTTCTTGTATTTACACACTCAATTTCTTTACATCTGTATTTGCTAATGGCTCAGGTTTCTGCACTTAATGCTTTTCTCCGTTTCCTGCTGTGATCTGATTGGGTCGCATGAAGGGAGCCTGTGCCCTAGAAAGTGACAGTGAGGGAACTGGCAGAGCCAGGCTGCTCAGGTCTATTCCAGACAGACAGACCGGGGATCAGGCAACCAGCCCCCTCCCAGGAATCCTTTGAATAGCAGCTCAGCCCCTCAAAGCTGGCCAGACATCACTGAGTGAGCTGCTTCTAACCTTATAAAACACCTCTCTTCTAGAAGCTTCTTAATATGTCTGTATAATTGAGACACTCAAGCAGGAATTTGAAAGGAACCTGAGAGTGATAGAGTTGAGTGCCTTTAGAGATCGGGTTTTCAGTTTAGTTTCATTTTGATTTGCAATGTGCCAGTGCCTCATATAATCAGTTTTTACTATTGCCTCTGTGTAAACAGGCTGCTTTGTCTTCTGTTTTTGTTCTGGCTGGTGGTGCTTGTAACTTGTGCTGAGACGCTTAAGCCTCACTTGATGCCTGAAGCTTCTCTGCAGTATTGGCCAGCGCGGCCCAAAGCGAGAAGCATTGCTGGGCAGTGGCATGGCCTGTTAGGTCACTGTGAACAGCTTTCTTGCTGTTCTCACCCAGACTCACTGGCTTTGCCACATCTGCTGTCTTCTGCCAGGTCACCTAAGTTAGCTGCTGAATTTTATGCCAGTCACCCAAATTCCGGAAGGGTTTTCTCACTACCTCTGCTCTTCACCCCTGGGGCCTATATATTCTGCAAGAGAATGTAAATATGTATTGAGGAAACAAGAGACAAGCAACACCAGACAGTGCCCTAAATTAGGTGAGACTGCTCCTCAACTCATTTTCACAGTAAATGTCCTGTCACCATCTCCCAACAGAGCTGTCCAGTTCCCCGCCAGGACCCTATCACCAGGAGCCCTACGTCTCAAAACCAGAGGAGCGGTTCAAAGCGCCACCCATTCTCCCCCCACATCTGCTCCAGGTCATCCTGAACAAGGACACAGGCATCTCTGTGAGTGCACAGGCGTCTGCCTGGACCGTCCTCCATGGTCATGCTCAGCAGCCCCTTCTCTGTCCACCTCTCGCAGAGCAGCTGGTGAAAAAGCCCAGCGTTGCCCACCCATCAGTGTTAATCGCGGGTCTGCCTCTGCCCTGGGAACGGGCTACTGGCAAGATATTCTCAAGTGTGGGTGCTGTTTCTCTGGCCAACAAAGCCTTTCTGAGCTTTTCTTCTTGCATTTCACTCCTTTTAAATTTCATGACAAGATATGTAAACCAGCCTTTCTCAGTAAGCTACATAATGGAATTTCCCCTTTGGCCCCCAAATTGTAGAATCTAGTTTCAATCACCAAATTGCTTTCAGAAACACCATTGTTCTTGGATCAAAATTTGGGGTATCTGGGTAACACACTTCCTCTGGAAGGTTGATATTACTGGCAAAAAGAAGTGTGGATCCTCCAGGGCCCTGAAGAACACGCCGGTATCCCCTGGTGGTTAATTTTCCATTCATTTAATCCAGGTTGCCCTGTTCCCTGCTCTAGAGTTCATGACCTAATCTTGAGAGTCTAGATGCTCTTCAAGTTTATCCAAGCTGCCACCTAAAAGGCACTGTTTATAAGGTGGAGAGGGCATGGAGCTGTGGCTCTGGACTCCACGTGAAGTGGGTACACATGTGCTGAGAGGGGGAGCTGAAAGCACACATGCAGGTGTCCCCTACACTGGCTGCGCTTTGTCACCCAGAGAGAGACCCGCCGCTCTCGGAGCAGGTCTCCCCATATGGAGAGTGCCTGAGCACACGTCTGGCAGCTGAGCCGGCTTTCGCCCTGCACTGTTTCTCTCTTGAAATTAGCATTTATAAAATTGGGGAGTGGTACGTTGGGGAAAAACCATCCAGATTTCTGGTTTCTCTTAAAAAATTGGAAGGTGTGGCAACGTTAAGTGCCAGTCCTGTGTGAGCTTCCGTGGAGTAATAGTGCTCTACCCCTCCCCCCAGTTCTCCGTTTCATTCTTCAGGCTCCCTGTCTGAGTCTTACAGACATGAGTTTGCAACCCACTGCTCAGGAGCCTTTGGTATAGACTGTATCCTGCTTTCTCTAAAAGTGCACTCACTGGACAGCCCTTTCTTCCTGCCCCTCCTTCAGTAAGAGGACAGAGCCGGGGGCTACACTTGATAGAGGCCAAGGTAAAGCCTGAGCAGCACACCAGGGAGCCCAGCAGACATGCAGGGAGCGCCCCTCAGCTGAAGCCTGGGGCATGACCCCCTCGCAAGCCCTTTTGCTGCCTGACTTAGGAAGAGGGGGCGTGAGAGGCCGCCTCCTTCCCTTTGCTCCCGGTGCTGTGAAATAAAGGGGGGCCGTCTTCTTGATTTCCAAATCCTCATGCTCACGTCTGCTTGTGTTCCCTCCCAGTGTGATCCGGCCTTGCTCCCCGAGCCCAACCACGTCATGTTGAACCACCTCTATGCACTTTCTATCAAGGTAATGACGTGCTCCCTGCTGAGGGCTGATTCCCAAAGCGCCCTGGGGCCCCCTAGCGACCCAGTTGCCTGCAGCTCTGACCTAACGGCAGCTTCCAGGACCTGGTGCAGACCTCGGGCTCCGGTCCTGAAAGCGGGCCCGGGAGCCCTCATTTGATCATTCCCGCCCTGTCCCTCAGGATGGAGTGATGGTGCTCAGCGCGACGCACCGGTACAAGAAGAAGTACGTGACCACCCTGCTGTACAAGCCTATATGAGGAGCGGGGGCCGGGGGCCCGGCGGCGCTGCCCTGCAGGCTGCGCGCTCCCCACCGAGGGAGCAGACTCACTTTCCCTTTTCACGCTGACATTTCACACCTGCCCTGTCCTGCCTGGAGGTCCGCTCCGGGTACAGCAGCTCCCAAAGCGCCTCGGGCGGTGCCAGTCTCAACACCCAGTGGCGGGAACTTCCAGGAGTGATGGACAGAAGGCCCGCGGCCCCACCACAGGGCACGAGAACTGCGGTGTAAACACACACCCGCCGAACTGGTCACGGAGGTTTTTCTTAAGCCAAAAATAAACACTAGCCACTTTGGCAGCATAAATCTGGGGAGCAGGAACCAAGGCCACATGCAATTTCTAATTGTATGTGCGTTTTTAAGGCCACCGACTTGTCCCTGTTGAGGCCTGGCTCTGGTGCTAACAACAGGTACAATGTTGGTGTCGCCCGTCCTCCAAAATCAAAGCAATTCTGTCTCCCGTTCTCTGCTCCAGAGGTGTAATTTCTATAGAAATTAGAACCTCCCTAATTTCAGGTGAAGTTTTACAATTGTTATTTACACTTACATGCACTAAGTTTTGTTGGTTTTTTTGTTTATTTTTTTGTTTTTTAACCAGAAGTGGCTGACTATACAGCCTTCGGGCCATTTTCTAGTCACCCAGCTAGAATGTAGATCGTGTGAACAAACCATGCTCAGCAATAATCTGTTCTCAAAACAGACTTTGAAAACCGCTGCCGGATTTCTCCATTAAGCTGGACAATCTGAGGACTGACTGCTGTTAGCGGGAGGGTTGTCCAGCTTTCTGTTCTCATCGGAATGAGGTGACAGTGTTACCATGGAAACTTGGGAGAAACACCCTACCCTAGCCTATGCCACCTTGCTCAGGACTTCTGTCCCCACCCCTCAGAAGGCTGTCGCAGTTACTGTTGCTTATTCTGGACGGAACTGAGAACTCAACAGCAGCCTTCTCAGTTCGTGTCGGGAGGACCTTTGGACCAAAGTGGACCTCTTTACGCTCGGCTTGGTTTCCAGGGAGGTGCCGCAGATGTTCTCAGTAGCGCAGGTTCTTATCCCCAGATCAGCAGAAGCTGTCGTTACGCCCTGTGTTCCTGCTGGGAGACGGAGGAACGAGCTCCCTGGCTTCCAGCACTTGTTCGGTAAACCGAGTCCAGGACACCCTTTTTTGTTACTGTTTTCGAAACACTGAGTTGTCATCACCTTGACGTACAGGTTTCAATAAAGTTTTGTAAAGATAACAGACAGATGCTTGGAGAAAGCTGTTTTCAGTTGTTTGGAACAGAGCCTGACTCTCCCAGGCATTTACTCAGTGCCATGCTTTTTGATTGCTTTCGTGTCTTGGCACACGGTGGAAATGGTGCCATCGTGTCGCACACTGGGGTGAGGCTCCAGTCCCTGACCCCCATTCTGCACACAATTTCAAAAGCTATGAGGGGGCCTGGAAATCGAGCCCCTTTGAACAACTCAGTCGCGAGGGGAAGCTGAGGAGAGGCTGCGGGAGCGTCACTGGGTAGGCAGGTGGGCAGTGTCCCCAGGTCAGAGGTTTCGCTTCCTCTCACTCATCAGGCACCACAGGGGTGCTGCTTGGAAGCCACCAGGACATCCTGGAGTCAGAGCTGTTCTCATCAGCTAAAAGGGGTTCTGTCCCTTTTTCCCCAAAGATGGGAGGTTACAGGTATCCTTTTCATAAGCCTTTCTTCCCTGCTGTCAGGGAACATTTCAGTGAATTTCAGAGAAAAGGGAACCTCTGGGACATCTGGTCCCCTTGAGGGAGAGTAGCTTAGGAAGCATTCCTAGCTGGGTAACCAGCCATCACACCCTAAAAGCCCAGCTTGGTTGGCTGAGCACTGTCCCATGCACCAAGAAGTCACGGGTTCAATTCCTGGTCAGGGTACATGCCCGGGTTGCGGGCTCGATCCCCTGTAGGGGGCGGCAGGAAGCAGCTGATCAATGGTTCTCTCAGCTGTTTCTAAAATCAAACACATTTTAAAAGTAAATAAATAATAAAAGCCCAAGTGATGTGGGAACACTTGATTTTAGGGACTGTAAGGATTATGAAAGGTAAAGAAACGCAAAAATCCTCTTTCCAAATCTGGATAAAATATTTTTAAAATACAATTGAAAATCTATAGCTAACCTCAAAAGTATAAAGGGTAGAGTCAAGCACCAGAAACGAAGGAACCACTGCTGTGCTTGGTGAGCTGTGAGCACAGCCCCTAGGCCCATGGTGGGGACTGGAGGTGGGTGGTGGGGCCAGGACCCAGCGGTGGGCGTCCAGGGCCGGGGCCTGAACCCACACGTGGGCAGGAAGCGTCTGCATGAGTGGGGCTTCCCAGCACTGCCCTTCGCGAGTGGGATTAGAGCATCCAGCTGCTGACCAGAGCCAGGGCTCAGGAAGCCATGGGCCGCGGGCTGCAGCAGGAAACCGAGAAGTTGGGAAATGCGGCCTGAAAATTGGCTCTACCCACAAAATTCAGGAGAAGCCAACCTGAAAATCCAATATAAAAACTAATTTGAAGCCAGCAAACCCGGTAATTGTCCTCTGCAGCCCGGGGGCGACGGGGGACCCAGCAGAGATGACTGCAAAGGGGGAGCACGGGCTCCAACCACAGAACTCAGGAGCGGCGTCAGCATTGGCTACAGCTGTCTGTGTATTTAAACGACTTCATTTTCTTTAAAAAGCAGCACAGAAGGAAGTCCCCTGTGGTCCAGGAGATTGCTCGCAGCGGAAGACTTTATACCCAAGAGGCAACGGAGATTGTTTCACGGATGCAGAAAAGGACACCCTGCTTTCCCCAAATCACGGGCAAAGCCACGTGTAGAACCGAGGTGGCCAGGACTCACGTTTTCTCTGTTAGCCGACCCCTATGGGCGAGGACTGGTTACATGGGTGAAGCTGAAATTGCTGATGAATGAAGATCTATTTCCCCCTCCGGAAGTTTACATACAAATGAATTTATGGAGTCAAAGGTAAGGCCTTTATATGACTAACATGTAAAAGGGTGTTGCAGGGTAAGTAGAGCCACATATCAACATACTGAAGCGAGAGATCAAAGGGCCCAGGCAAGGCCACTGCCCTCCCTCCTGGACCACAGCATCCCCTCCCAGAGTGTGGACACGGCTGGGATCAGGGATGTCCGGTTCAGTTGCTGACTAGCTGGGTGACCTTGGGCAAATTGCATGACCTCTCTTAGTGTGATTTCTTCCCCTGAACCAATGAGAGGGGTTGGACTAGCACTAGATGGTCCCTGGAGTTCATTTCATTTCACACTGGGAGCCACAAAGCCTTTAACGCATGAATGGGATAGACATGGGCGCGCACGGGAAGTTAAGGGGCCAGAAAAAGCGCCGGCACGTCAAGCTCAGGAGAGCTCCACGGCTCCAGAGGCCAAGGCCGAAACCCAGAACATCAAAGTGATGCCGTCCACAGCTGAGGTCAGAGAGTCCACCATTTCAGAGAAAAGCAACATTTCATTTTGTTTAGCTCGGCTGCCTCCAGACGAGCACCGATTCATCTCCCAGGCTGCGCTCCGTTCTGACACCTGACCCTCCCCCCACCAATGTTTGCAGATGGTTTGAATTCGTGAAGACTGAGGCTCCCCGGGGGCCTTCCAGCTTCTAAGTGGTCCCTGCTTAGTCCCTCCCTTGATCAGCAAATTAGTAAAGAAACTACAGCCTCCCGCCCTGCAACGCCAACTGTCATTGTCTTCAGGAGAAAACAGAAAGCACCATACATGCTTTTCTCCTAAAACCCAAGTCATTCCAGCTAATTATGAAAACATGCGCAAGGGCCATCCTGAGTCGTCCCTGCTGTAAGCCAGACCCTTAGCATCCTAAAAGCTGCAGCAGCCAGAGCCCAAGCTCGGCGGCCGGCCAGGTCCCTGGGATGAACCTGGCGCTCCGCCAACAGGGTCACCTCCCACAACCACCTCATATTTTTTGTCCTAAACACAGCTAAGGGGCCTTTGCCTGGATGAGGCTGCGGGCCATCCCGCTCCCTTTTCTAACCTCCTGGGGTGAATTCACCCATCTCATCTGGAAAACTCAACAGCAAGTGTGAACAGGAGACAGCTCCAGCTGCGCGCACCCAGGGTCAACTTACTCTCCCCTGCGCCTTTCTGAAATGCAGCCCGAGCTGTGTCTAGTAGTAAAGTCACTTTCAAGGCTCTTTCCTCTACAGCTAACAACCCCTTCCGGGCAGTTCCATTAATCATTGATGGACTCGAGGGAGAGCCAAGCGATCACTGCGGTACCGTATTTCCACGGCCCGCACCCTCCCAGCTTCGGGAAAATAAAGCTTCGACATTTGATCAGGGAGGTGATAAACTGTTTTTCTCATATATAAACACTGTGTGCCTAGAGCCACTGTCGCCACGCCTCAGACATTATAGTCAATATTTAAACTACCATGAAAGAAACCTGACTGGAACAGGCCAAGGTTCTCAACCTTGCCACTGTTGACATTTTGGGCCCGATAATTCTTTGGTGGGTGTGGGGGGGAGGCTGTCCTGGGCATTGTAGGACTTTTAGCAGCATTCCTGGCCTCTACCCTCTAGATAACAACCAAAAATGTCTCCAGACATCGTCAAATGCCCTCAGGGGAGGGGAGCAAAGTCACCCCTATTTTAGAGCCCCTGGAACAGGCTGATTTATCTGTTACGAGGCTGAAAGCTTAGCTAGTCCCCACCCCTGTGGGCCTGGCGTGAGTGCTTTAGAGTGAAATCCAAGTGAATGTTTCCTCGGGCAAACCATTCAAGAGACCCAGGTCTGAAGACAAGCTGGCTGTTCAGTCCCATTAAGCAAACCATCCCTTTTTGGCCCAGGTCTCCAAATCCTGAAGTTTCATGGTTATGAAAATTGCTATGCAGCCGGACTCCAGTCTTGTGAAAATTAAGCTGTAAGGGCAGAAACGTATCGTCTAATTTTGTGCTTGAGGCACAGGAATATGGTGTGGTTCATTGGTCGATTTTTTGTGTTTTTTTTAAATGTCTGTATTGATTTCAGAGAGCAGAAGGGAGAGGAAGAGAGATGGAAACATCGATGAGTCATTGATCAGCTGCCTCCTGCGCGCCCCCTGCTGGGATCGAGCCCAAAACCCAGGCACGTGCCCTGACTGAAATCAAACCGTGATCTCCTGGATCCCAGGTCGATGCTCAGCCACTGAGCCAAACCGGCCAGGGCGATCGGTTGTTTCTTTGAGGTCATTCCTTAGGGTCTAAAGAACCTTTCAGTCACACCCCTTTAGGAACAAACCACATTTACTTATGAAGTATTCTGTGGCTCACAAGAACCCTCAGAACAATAACTGAAATGGCTGGTTGGTATTTAATGGACTTTTTCTAGTATTATTGAGGAGAGAAAGGTTCCAACATTTCACTGGCTCATCTTCTGAATTTTTTTTTTCATTACTACAGTTGTGACCTTGGGCAGATTTTTATCCCCAACAGTAAAATAAGAAAGAGGAACAGAATTACAACTATAGTTCTTGTCACAAGCCATGTGAGATACGACCCTGTAAGTCAGATTTTAACTGTGGTCAGGTTACTTCATTGGAAAATAAAAACCAAAGACTAAAAGCAACAGGAACCATGAGGAAATCACCAACTGCCAAAAGTGATGTTTTTGTGTGGATCAGGTGAAGTTTTATTAATGAGCTAAAAAAAAAAAAAATAGAAAAAAATTTCCTTGTAGACTATAAAAATTCATCTCGTTAAAAACAGAAATATTTACATTTTAAATGACCTTGAGCCCCTCCCTCCAAGGAAATCTACATCTTTAAATCCCCATGGCCTTATATGGGACAAGAGACATTTTAAGGTGACTGTTTTCCCAATGGGCTGCATCCTAGGTGAGCTGGGTAATCCGCCCTCGAGTAATCCTTTCGAAATGGCCCAGCTGCTTAAGCTTTCCAGTCCTGCAGCCCAATAAAGTGACCTTAACAAACCACTTCATGGTTCACTGAAAGTACTGACCGAACATTGACAATGTCCCACTGTCAGAAGAGAACGTCACCAGTCTCGATTCCGGGAAAGCAGCGTGCCCCAGCCTGTATGTGGCTCCCACCACCCCGGAGCAAAAGCCAGGATAACAGGCCTAAGCTGGCACTCGCCATACTTAGGATTTTTATGGTCTCGCTCGAGAAATAAAAAAGGTCACTGCACCAGAGCAAACATTGTAGATCATTGCTTTATTTCACTATTGTTCAACAGCAAAGTTCATTCCTCTCAAGGCGGATCTTGCATTGTTCCTTCCCTCGTCCTGAATAAAAAAGGTAATGAAGAAAAAGCCTGTACTTTTGGAAACCTAGAATCTTATTGATGCTAATAAGCGTTTTGACTGCAATTTCGAGTTACAATATTTCCTGCTGGCATCTCGGTGGTCACACGGAGCTCCCCACCCTCCAGGGAAGATGGCTGTCCACAACTACCACCTTTGAAACCAAAAGTAAGTGTTGAAAAATGCACCTTTTACAATAAAAAAGTAGAAACCAATTCAATTTCCTTTTTTTTTTCTTTTTTTTTACGAATATAAAGTTTCTTGTAAATATGTACAGTCTTTTGAGCTAGTTCTAGAGCAGGAAGCATTTCACAAATGGGACACACGATATACATGTTCGGGACTCTAGAAGCCCGTTTCTCATGGAGATCCTAATGAAATGCCGAGACTGAAAGACCAGTTTTCAGCGACCTTTCCAAATGCTGTGGACCAAGAGACAAAACTTCAGCAAACATTCAGTCAGATCTGCCCTGGGGGAGAGAGGGGATACAGGATGACCCCAAAGACTCTAAGCGATACATAAAACACAACAGCATGACACTGGCCGAGGGTGAGACAACACAGAGGGTCATGGGTGTTTCAGATGAGAAAGCACTTAGATTAAGAGACGAGCAGGAAGGAGCCAGGACTTGGGCCAGGCTGCAATCTGGAAAGTGGTCTGAACTGTGGACACATGGGTTGGAACACGGTCATGTCCACCCGCTGCGGTGGACAAGGGTCTACTGTCAGCCTACCTAGGATGTGCCTTGGTTGTTGGAGGCGTGCCTAAGAGTCATGGAGAATCCGAAGCGAGAGATGCCTTGTGGGAGATTAAAGGCAGAAGTAAGGCCGCTAGTTAGCTTGCCAACCGCAAAGCCTCTAAGTTGGTTTTTTACCAGTCGCTGGGAACTGACTGGTCGCCAGAGGGTGGAAACAGGGTGGGCCGCGCTGTCGCTGCACCTAAGGAGGCTTCCGGACCCTGGCCGGGGGGAGCTGAGCTGCGGCTGCCTTCTCCAGCATCCCGGTCTCAGTCTAGCCCTAGGGGAAGGCTCGCTGGGGAAGTCACAGTTTTGTGGGGTAGAACCGTGCTGGGTTTTGTGTGAACAGAGTCATCCACGTGGGAGTCGGCAGGAAGCGTGAACGTGTGAGGTGGTGGTTTGCTGAAATCCTTCTCTGGTCGTAAGGCTTGAGCGTTTGGTTTTTGTTTGTTCAGTGCTACAGACTGCAGCTTGTGTGGCCAGTGAGTTGGCAAGTCGTCAAGAGGGTCTCGATTCGGCGGGAACTATGGTATGGTGCTAGGACATCGGCAGAGCACCCCGAGGGGGGCAGCCAGGTCGGGGGGCAGCACATGCAGTGAACCGCCATGCAGAACTCCCGGACGGGTCTCTTCCCATCCCAGGGCGGGGAACAGCGTGCCATCACGGACAGGAGGTGGGTGCCCCCAGTCCCTTCCTGGGCCCAGAGACCCATGGGTGCTGGGCTCTGAGCGAATCTATTGCATGCTTTCCTGGCCAAAGCTACATGGAAAGCGGGGACAGCAGGCTGGGGAGATGACACTAGGGGCAGGGAGGAAAAGCTCCTCGAGGTCCCTTGGCCCCAAGTCACTGCCTCCGAGCTGAGGCCCGATGACCTCTATACATTCTCAGCTGGTGGGAGGGGAAGTCGTCAAGGCCATAAAAGGCAATGAGAACAGTAAACATTTGGCTAAGATGTCACCCTGGGTAAAGCAGGGCCATCTGTGAGGATGGGCGAGGGCGAGAATGGACCTAGGTGAGTGCAGGAGGTTAGCCAACTGGCAGGGACTCTTCTATAATACGTTTCAGTAGCAAAGACCTGGTGGTGTGATCTAGCTAAAAATGACTACAACAGGAAATACATTGCTATTCAAATCTAGTAAGAATTCTGTTGTCTTTAAAAAAAAGAAAAAAAGGAAAAAACTGAAAAACAAAACAAAACAAAAAACCAACCCTAGGATCTTAAAGTAGCTATTAATAGGATTCTAACCACGTCGCAGTTGGTGCCCGGTTGGTGTCCTCTGATGAACTGGTACAGGCTAGAGCTCGGTACAAAAGTTTATGAATGCTTTGTAAGAGTAACAAAGTGCAGACAGGATGGCCGCAGGAAGGTGCCGCAGCTCCGAAGAGCCTCAGCCCCCCGCACCTCCTGGTGCAGGGGTGTCCGTGCTGAGGTGGGTCTGGGTCCAGCTGTGCCATGGGGCAGCTGAGCAGATGCGCTGGGGTCCCCTTCAGCAGAGTTCCATGTGTGTTTGGTGTTTTCCTGCAGATTAAGATGAGGAGTTGGCTCTTCTGACAGATTTATACTGAAGACTGGTCCCAGACCTGCGAACAAAAGGAGAGGGAGGGGTTTTAGCCACCAGAGGCCAGAAAGTGCTGTGCTCTTTGCATAATCCAAACAGGAAGCTTGCAGCAGCTGGTCCCGCCTCGGTGGTTAACACGGAGTGCTGGGTGGCACCAACTAGCGGAGCCAACCCTCAGAGCTTGGAGTCTGTCAGGGACTGAAATTCACGGAAAAGTACCCAAAAGCTATGTGTGTATTCCTACTGTTTTACATACACACACCATGTTATCAGTAAAGCAGGAGAGATAAGAGACAAACATTTAGATGGCTTCTCTCCTGTCTGTACAGGGGCGCGACAGTGACCTGCAGATGGTATCAGAAGAAAAATGCGATCCAGGAAATCAGCTGCAGTGAGGAAGATTCAAAGTTCTAGAAGACAGCCACTGCTACCAGTGCCTGTGCAGCCTTCCTGAAAATGCTTGATGGAGGTGTATATTTATTTGCATGTGTGTTTGAAAAAGGTGTAAGGCACAGAACATTTTGTGTCGTATGTCGTTTGTGTGTAAGAAGAGAGAACACACACACGTCTGCTTATACGCAGAGACTCTCTCCAGAAACTGCCAACACCAGTTGCCTCCGAGGAAGGGACAGATCCTCTCTGGCCCACACATACACACACACATACACACTATCCATTGCTTAGGTAGCCTTTTGTGAAATCAAGTACATCTTCCTTCTCACCAAATCTGAATTACAGTAACTGAGTTCCTTTTTACAACAGGTGCCCCGAGGGGCCTCAGCTCCCGAGGCCATTCCTCTGCCTCTGGATGGTGCCTCACCTTGTTGACCTGGGACAGGGGGGTCCTCACGGCTCCCGCAGGCAGCCGGCCCCTGCTGCTGTCTTCAAACAGCCTCCCGGGGGACCTCTCCCTCCGTGTGCTGAGCATGCGGCCCGGGGACTTCTCCCGCTCCAGGGGGCGGCCGGGAGACTTGTCCCTGCGAAGCTCTGTCCGTCCCTCTCGGTAGCGGTGGGGTGTGCTTGGCTCTCGCGGGTGGCTGGGGCCTTCCGGTGGCGCCGGGCTGGAGGCCACACGCTTGGTGATGTGCTCGTTGTATGTTGGTGGGCCTCGCTTGTTGGGGCTGCTGGCAACAGGACAGGGAGGGGGAGCTGAGGAGTCACAACCCCAAAGGGGCATTTTCCTTCTCTGAGAAACCCCCATGCTCAGCCCACCACTGATTATGAGGAAACAGGCCCATCTGGAGTTCTTGAGGCTTTTTGTCTGTTTTACTGGGGTACAGAGGGCAGAGAAGCAAGCAAAGATGACGACAAAAGAAAATCAAGCTTCCCGGTGTCAGAGCACCTACTGTGTGCCCAGCCCTGTGCGCAGCTCTTGCTGTCACAACAGCACTTATAAGCTGGGAACAAGCAGGACCCGCGTTGTACGGACAAGAGAAAGGACCCGCAAACAGGCTGGGTGACAGCCCCAGCTAGTGGACTGCAGGCTGGGATCGGGCCTGATATATTTAGGAAACTGAGCAGGGCAGATCAAAACGGTGCAGCTGGCTCAAAAATTTCCCTGGCCCCAAAGGGTGATGACAGTTAATAACCAAACAGTTGAAATTACTGACCCCCCCTGCCCTCCCCAAAAAGAAAATACTGATGCCTTTTTGTACAACCAATCTGATCCTGCACCTAGTCCTGGCCTGGGTGTTTCAGATGAAGATTTCTGACCATATGTCCCTAACCACCTCTCTGAAGAAACACTATCGAGAAATAGACCTAAAAAGCAGCCTTCCTTCCAAGTCAATTCCTTCCCACCTCCGTGAGCAGAAAAGGTACTTGGGTCCTCATTATCTGAGCAGAGCGAGTGCTGGGAGAAGGCAACCTACTTAAAATGGGAACATTTTATACTGAATCCACCTGGAGACCTATGGTCATTGATTGGGGCTTAAAGCAAAAGGAGAAATCAGGAAAATAAATTTATTTTATCCTAGATATTTTAAAAATCTAAATTACAATTGCATGCTGAGTCTAAGAAGGAACCAAGTATGAATCTCATACTGATTTATTTTGCTCTAATTTTCTCAGCATAATTGTACGCTAACGTGCTACCTGGCACCTTTAATTACACCGATGTTGGCTCTTACGTCTCTTAGAACATATGTGAGAGTCATTGGTTTTCCCAAAGGCCTATTGTTTTCCTTGAAATTTAAATCCTTCTCTTTAGAACAGTTATCATTTTATCAATTTTCTTTCTTTTCAATTATTGGTCTAACTTTACCAGAATCTCTTTTGTCAATGCCCACAATCAAAAGCAACTGGGCAGTGAAGACACTGATCCACTGGGGGAGAAAGACTAGAGGAAGCCGAGGGCCACATCCAGACAGATGCCTGTTTTTATAAATAAAGTTTTACTGGAGCACAGCCATGCCCATCCGGTCATGCACCATCTATGGCTGCTTTCACACTACAGCAGAGCTGAGTAGTTGAGACAGAGACCACATGGCCCACAATGCTGAAAATATTTACTCTCTGGCTGGACCTTTACAGAGAAAGTTTGCCAATTCCTGCTCGACAGTGAAACAGGTTGGTGAGCGGGGATAATTTTATAAGCGGTCAGTTTGTTGTATATAGTTCATGTCATCCTCGTGCTTCCCGGTGCAACCTTTAACTGAGAAGATCCAGATAACAAGTGCTCAGAAAGCCAGAAGCTCCTGTGCTGAGTAGGCAGCAACAGAACGTGGTAACAGATTTCAGCAGCTTGAAATCAAGGTTTATACTCATCTCTAGGTACGTGGCTTTAAGACATAGCAGACAAATAACAAAATGAATCCAGAGTAGGAGAATTACATTAAGTCTGTTTGTAATGGAAGAGAAATTATACAATGTGTCTGCAGGGGCCCATCATAAAGTGAGTGAGAGAGAGCTTACTGCCGGAGGAAGAGGGCTTAAGGAAGGCCACTGGGGATGTCGGCTTAGACTAACAGGATGAAGGAAAACGCCCATCACTGTAGGCCGAGCGGGCGATCTTCCATCTCCGTATCCATTAATAACAATGATCTTTCACGTCAATTTTATGCTTCTTGCAAAGAGTTACATTTCCCGCTCTGCTAAACAGATCAGGGCGATGTGGCCAGGCCCACAGTGTAGCTTCAAGATTTAGACTGAGATCGCCAGGCCCAGATTTAGTCTTGTCATTTTGTTTACACGTTGGAGGTAAAAATTCAGTTTATTAAACATTTTCTGTAACTGCACCCCAGTTTTGCCAAGCTATGTAGCAATTTTTTAATTCTAGTTTTCACAACCTGGATATCGGACTGTTGCTTTTGCATGATGTACACAGTATCTTGAGACTGGAATTTACTTTGTTTTATAGTATCTATACTCCTTCTACTTTTCAAGAGCTATTTTGTAAACAGATGATGTATTTCTCCATTGAAAACACAATAAAGAAAAAAACAGCACATCTACCCATCCCTCCAAAATTCGGACTTCTACATTCTGACCCCACCAAAGCAGTCTGCAGCTAGCAGACCACTGTATAAGCCAAGAGGCAACTAAAGACTAACTGCCGATTTTCCGGACATGCCTGGCAGCAGCAAGAAAGCAACAGCATTATTTCTGTCCCGTGTTCACAGAACTGGAACCATTTTCAACTACAGAAAAAATAACTCATTACAGAGACTCTGTAGAATCTCAAGAGGAAGATGCCTGGCCATCAAACTAGTGAGGCAATGGAGAAAAAAATCTAATTACAGTATTTTGATTTGTTCTTGGCATGACTTGGAACTACTTAAATGAAGTCTAGGTAAATAAAATAAGAACAACTTAAATAAAATCTGAAATTCCCAGGGGAGGACTGCAGCTCTTTGAGCAGCCACTCCTAAGGTCAGGTCAAGCCAAGGGGTAGGAGCTGCTGGTTATGCAGCAAGTTCCTGGGATTCAAATCACACTGACCAAACATTTCTGACTAACCCCTATTTCAGCAGAAGAAAGAGAGACTATTCATTCGGACATCGCCTCGGAGTACTGAACTGATGGCTCTCTCTTCCAAGATCGAAGCATTTTGTAATATTAGAGGCTATCCCTCCACCAAACCGAGAATCCCTGCGGAATAAAAAGTGCCTTTTTCATCTGTGTACCCAGCCCCACTTCCACACATGCTGGTGGGGCTATGGAAGGTTCAGCCTCCATGGAGGAAAACTCAGCAACATCTATCAAAATTACACATGCACAGCCGTTTCTAGGAATTTGTCATACAGCGAAATTCCTAAGCACGCAGAAGGACAAAATGACACAGGCGCAAAACCATTTACTATAGCAACAGACGGGAAACAACCCAAACAAACACCCACTGAGAAGGGGGCCATTAAGTAAGTCAAGGTCACGGAAAGGAATGCTATGTAGGCTTTAAAAAGAAGGAAAAAATACTTCTTACACCGACGGGCAATCTCCACAATACGCTAAGGTTTGCTGTATGCACAGTGTGCAACCACCTGTTAAAGGGAAGGGGCAGAGCACGTCCAGTGGCAGAGCGAGACCTCCGGAAACCTGTTCCTCCATAAAAGCAACAAGAACACCGACAGACATGGTCAAAATCAACTTTCCAGAGCTCTAGAAATTAGCCAAAGGCGAGCAACAATTCGAAGAGCGTTTATGCAAGAAAAACAGCTGAATCTCGGGAAGAACAAGCTTTGTGACACTTAACTTCACCTATTCCCATGGCTTTCTCCCCAGATCTGTGGCAATGTTGAAAGCAACAGCCTCATAGCCACAGGAGGCGTGGAAGCCAGCAGCGTAGCCGCCACCAGAGGGAGCCCGGCAGAGCTGAAGCTCCCCAGAAAACCACATCTCACCAGGCTGGTTACTCCTGGGAAAAGACTGTTCTCAGGGCTGGTTTTCATTTGTCCTGATTCAGAGCTACCTCATGAGAAAAACCATATCCCCAGAACTTTCCATGGCAGCCGTAACAAGGAATACAAACTTTACAGAATTAGTCTAGGGGCGTCACTAAATAAACAGCAACAAGCCCAGGGAGGGGGATCAGATTTCCAGAGTTACCACATTATATTATTTGAGATGCCTGGTTTAAAAAAAAAAAAAAATCACAAAACATATAAAGAAAGAGGGAAATATACATAGGACCTCATTTCTTCCAGGAAATTTTCCCTGAACCCCCAAGTCCAGGCAGGGGCCCTTCTTTGAGCTCCCACCGTACCGTAAATGATCCCGAAGGCAGCCTCACCCTTCTAGGCTGTGCTGGAATCGGCTGAATGTGTCTCTACCCTGGGGCTTTGTCAGGGAGGAGATGCATCTGGCTTATTGACCACTGAACCTCCCATGACTGCCCAACGAGCTCGGAAGAATATTTGCTGAAGCAATGAATGAGGAGTTCATGCTCCATTCCAAACAGAGCCACTGAAAACACCCACCAGGGAAAGGCCAGGCGTTTTCTTCCACCTTTCCTAAGGGGGCATTTAAAACTTCTTCTGTACTTACTGTGACTATGTCATGTCAATGCTGTACAACTCAAGGAAACGAGTGGCTTGAGCTTGAATATTGGGAAACCTCCAGCTTGTTTAGCAAGATTTCCTTCTGCTTTGCAGAAAGGACCTGGCACCTGTAATGAGGAAGAGGAGGCACGGTACCTGCGGGAGGTGGAGGGACCCCGGTGGTGGTCAGTGCCGGACTCCTTCACGAGGTTTCCTTTGCAGCAAATGATCCTTAGTTTATCCTGGTAGGAGGACGCCAGGTAAATAGCTCCCGAGGAAATTGCAGGGCCCAGGTAGCGTGGGTTTGGGATTTCCAAATACGCTCGGGCAGGGGTCCTGTGGAGAGTCGGCAGTGAGGTTAGCTGCATTGCTAGGTGGGAAAGGAAGAAACACGCGCCCGACCTCAACCCCTATCCCAACAGCTGGGCTCTTCAGAGCCTGGAGGGCACTGCTTACCCCAGGGAGGAGCGTGCCTGGATCTCAATCACTTCGAGCGAGTTGAAGTGGGTCACAAACAGATAGGGCTCTCTGTAGGCTGCGGGGCCACCACGGAGGAGGAGTGTGGAGGAAGGGTTAGAAGAAACAAAATTAAGACCTGCCTGCAGTGCACCCTTGGACCCAGCAATCCCACCTAAGGAATCATATCCACATGCCAGCCCAATGAGGCATGCTCGAGTGTGTTCACTGCCCTGTTGTCAGAGCAGATGGGAATTAACTCAAGGGTATGTGCGAGGCGACCAGCTACATACATTCTGGTACATCTGTGGAACTCTGCACAGCTACAAAAATGCAAGAAGCTCCTCTCCATGTACTGACATGGGGAAAATAATCTGAGGTGTGCAGTTTTACTTAGTGCATAAAGCAAGACTCAGAATAATGTGTAAAGTATGCTACTATAATGATAACAAAAAGGGATATAAGAGTATATTTTTTGTCTCTGTATTTGCACAAGTCCCTAGAAGGATAAGAAACTTGTTTTAACTAACTTAATTTAATAAGACTAATAGCTTAGTCTAATAAGAAACTAACTTTTTTTTTCTGGAGGGAGTGGGGATGGAGAATTTGGAAGATGGGTAATATGGATGAGACTTTTCATGATACATGTTTTTAAATTTTTGATTGTAAGCATTTTGAAAAAAATAAGTAACAAAAGACTGGGTACATAGGTAATTAGGTATTTCTGTTCTTAACATCACAGTGTCACTGAAACTCTAGGATATGACCGGAGCTTTTTTCTGTCTTAAAGGGAAAGGAGATAATCACCCCTATACTCATGGTAAACTTAGCTTTGGTGTTAGCTACAGTGTGCCTCCGGGGGGTCTCCCTGCCTGACTCCGGGCTGGCTCCACTGCCTGTTTTACCCAGCAGAATATGATAAAAGCCAGAAGGCCTGACAGCTTCCACTTCCACCCACATGGAGAGGAACAGCAGCTTCCGGCCACCAGCCCCAGCCAAGCTCCCACCAACTGCACCAATTGCTCCCACGTCTGTGAGGTCACTGTGGAATTTCTAGTTATCCCTGTGACCCCTCTGACCCCACAGGAAGCAGAACTGTCTAGACAACCACAGAATCACGGGCAATAAGTTGCATTAAGTCACTCAGTTTTGAAACTTGATATGCAGTGAAGATAAACGAAAAAGCCTTGAAGGGTATTTCAGCTGCGATAGTAATTCAGAGCAGTCACACAGACAAGTGTGTACACATTTGTGTGTATGTGTGACTATGTATGTAGTTCCACTTGTAGAGCTTAGGAGCATAGGATACTACTGGACAAGTGTGTAAAGATTAGTGCAAGATGTTCATCACAGCATTGTTTATACTTACAAAAAGCATGGCCTGGACCTAAGTGCTCTGCCCCAGTTAGAACTGATAATATTGATAGGTGTTCAGCTGTGCCCTGCTGCCTTTGAAATGATTTAAGTGAACTCACAGGGAAAGGTCTTCTTTATCTCATGAGAACCTAACAAACACTTCACAAGGCTGGGGGGTTTGGCTGATGCAGTTCTTCATCAACCTCCAGAATCTTTGCCCTGAGCACGTACTCAGGTGACCACTACATGTGGGGCTTGGTGTCTGTCCAATGGACTCCACGAGCACAGTGCTCAGGCCAAAAAGAATTCCACCCACAATTCTTTCCCGGGACACCAGCTGCTGGGCCGAAAGAGCCCTCTATACCTTGCCTCACTTACCGAAGGCCAAAGGTAAGCGACTCCACTTGAGATCGTCTGTGCGGCTACGTCTTCCGTAAGAATCCACGAACACCCCAAATTCTGCAAGGAATCAGAGCCCAGGGGCGTCAGCAGAGCCAGAGGCTAGGGGTGTCAACAACACGCACTTTGACAGGGGAAGAAGGAACCATGCCCAGGGGACCACTGGCCAGATTTCACCGGATTGTTAAAACCTAAGGACCCCTGTTGAGCCTGACTTATTAGAAAAAGGGGGTTCAAGTAAAAGGGGGGAATGAAAGGAAAAGAAAGGGAGGTGGAAGGAGGACAAGGGTAGGGAAGACAGGGAGGAAGAGGGAGAAACAGAGAGCCAGAGACAGGAAGGAAGAGAAAGAAAGACCCAGAGATTTGGAAAGAAAAGAGAAACATCAAGAGAGAAAAAAAAATGAAGGAAAGACAGACAAAAAAAAATAAGGGAAGAGAGAGAAAGAAGCGAGGATAGAGAAGGAAAGAACTACCTGCTCTTTGGACAGAATATAATAGTGCTGGGTTGGGTTAGTGCCCTGGTGGGGACAGGACAGGGGACCCCGAGGAGCCTTTGAGGCAGCTGGAATGATGTTCTCGGTAATCCCAGTAGGACCTGCCCTGCCCCAGAGTCCCACCGGCCAACCCACAGCCCCTGGTGGACCCAATCTCAGACTCCTGGCCCCACCAGGAGTGCCCAGCAGCACTCAAAATAGCAATGAGCAGCAAGCCCCCCTCACCGTGGAAGCAGAGCAGGTACTCCTCCCGCTGCCCTGCGCTGTTCACCTGCATGATCGAGACAGGGAAGCTGTTGGAAGAGGCGGCAAACACAGCAGGCGCCAAGGAATGGTCATTCTTGTCCAGGAATTCTGAAAAGGCAGGCAGAAGCGGGGTCAGGGACGGCTCGAGTGGGCGCAGGGCCAGAGCAGGGCGTGGGCTGGGGCGACTGGGGCCCTACCCTCAAGCGTGTACTGCTTCATGTCAATTTCGTAGAATTTATTGGTTCCGATGAGGACACTGTAGTTGGTGAAGTGGATGCAGCTGCAGGGCTCTGAGGTCTCTATCTCCTGAGGCAGAGGGCAGAGAGGAGGCTGAGTGTCACCCAAGGCCACCAGGCCCCCACTGTCTCCTGTTTCACCTTAGGCATCTAACAGAGCCTGGAGGGTCGCCACCAGACTTAAGCTATAGACTGGGCACAGCACATTCAATCCTTTCGTGTCCCTTTGTTATCTCTGAATTCTTTGCAACCCCAGACTAAGAAAATAAAGCCAAATTACAGCTCCCCCCCCCCCCC